TGATCATTGCGCTCTTTCTGGCTGAGGCAGATTGGTCTCCGGCCATTGGACGGCCGCTCACAGCGGCTTACAATGGCTGCCGGCCACTCACGCCAGTTCACACCAGCTGCCAGCCACCCACGGTATCTCACAGCAGCCCACTGCAGCAGGGGCTGCAGCCTACACCGTCACTGTCAACTCTTGGCAGCCCAGCTCCAGGTTGAGCTGTTGTTCACCATCTTAGCTGTAGAGGGTGCAGCGTTGTTGGCTCTCATGTGGGATCCGAACCGGGGCCCTGCTGCTCAGAGCTGGCGTCCCAAGCCAACTCTTAACCAACGCACCACTCAGCTGGCCCAACTCAATATATTTCTTAATTTAATCTCCTTAATAATGATATGAAGCAGGTCACTTCCCTGTACTTTACAGATGAAGAAACTGAGGGTCAGGATGGTTCAATAACTTAGCCCAAGTCACACAGCTAGAAAGTGGCAGAGTTAGGATTTGACTAGAAAGCTCCAGTTTAAAGTGGTCACTATCTACTCAAGCTTCCATTTCCTTATCTGTACAATGGAAAAGGTAGGACTTGATCAGAAATTCTTTACTTGGGCAGTAAGGATGCCAAATTTTTTCATATGATCACTTTTTCTGTTTAGAGGAGGGGTCATAGGGGTCATCAGTTTCAAAGCCGTCTGATCCCCAAAAGTTTGGAACCACTGGGTCATACCCAATATGAAAGTTCTATGACTATGAATTCTCTTCATTCTGATAGGAGCTAACATTGAGTGCACACTGCATATCAAGTGTATGCAGTATATGCACTCAGCATATTATTCCATCTCATTTAATTATCACAATAACCTTAAGAGATGAGTATTTTTTTTTAATTGGGAAATTGGGGGAGGGGAACAGTGTTGGGGAATTGGGGAGTGAGACTAGCAAAGTTGTTGTTCTTCGATCTTAGTTGTGGAGGGCTCCAGTCGCCATCTGGCTGCCCATCGGCAGCTCGTGGCCCCTAAGCTCAAGGTGTTGTGTTCAATCTTAGTTGCAGGTGGGTGTAGCCACCATCCCATGTGGGAGTTGAACCAGCAGTCTTGTTGTTAAGAGCTCACTCTCTATCCACTGAGCCATCTGGGTGGCAGCTCAGCTCAAGGTGACAAGTTCAGTCTTAGTTGCTGGCAGGTGTAGCCCACCATCGAACAGGCAGTCTTGTTGTTAGGAGCACGTGCTTTCACCAGCTTAGCCATCCTGCCACCTGTTGGCATCTCAGCAGCAGCTCAGCTCGGGCGCAGCATCACTGGCCCACGTGGGAATCGAACTGGCGGCCCTGTTGTTCAGAGCTCGTTCTCTTAAGCTAACTCTTAACCAACTGAGCCACTCGGCCAGCCCCAAGAGATGAGTATTTTTTATTATTTATTTATTTTTATTATTTTATTTTATTTTAAAGATTTTTATTGGAGAATTGGGGGGTTGGGAACAGTGCTGGGGAATTGGGGGAAGGGGGACAGACAAGTTGCTGTCGTTTTGTTCTTCAGTCTAGTTGTGGAGGATGTTGCTTCACTGTCCCAAGTTGGCACCATCATTGCACTCTTCCGGGTGAGGCAGATCAGTCGCCGGCTTCTGGACGGCCGCTCACTGCGGCTGCTGGCCACTCACACTGGCTGCTAGCTACATACGGTAGCCCAAGGCAACCCACTGCCACAGGGGCTGCAGCCTACGCCATTGCCGGAGACTCACCGCAGCCCAGCTCCAGGTTGAGCTGTTGTTCAGCATCTTAGCTGT